TATATAGCTATATAGCTTATGGTGACCTGTACATGAATTGATTTTTTGTTTTACTCCTTTACTTCATACATGATATAGGAGTTGGCTCCCTAAAGACACCGATTGTATAGTGTACAAAGTATTCAGTATTCTACATGTTACAGTCATCTAATGTTCATGTATTATTGGCTGGTAATTCCTGTTTCATCCTGTACTTAAGCTTTTTAAAGGAACATCTGATATCCGTAAGAAAGCTAACGTCAAGGGGTAATAACACCGTTTACACTAGAATTATGATTTTTTATTTTATTATTTGCATAGAATAATAATAAAATAGGTAATCAAAGATCGCGAAGACTATTTTGCTCTATCAAATGATGATAAAATTATACTTACTGCTGGAACTAGATAGGCACTAGGCCTGTTGAAGAAAGATGAACAAATATATGAAATCTCGGTTTCGGCCAATTCGCAGGTTTTCGACTTTGGGACGCTCTGGATAGCTGAAAAGCGGCATACACACCGGAGATAGAGTGACTACGCCAGGTAGCTTCATGTCTAGCTTCTGATGACCTGTAGATAAGAAAATCCAGATGACTTTTGTATTGTTTTAATACGGGTGTCCGTGCCATCCCTACATAGAGAGTACTAGTGCATCCACTCTCCAATACAATTTAAAAAAAGCAATTTAAGGATAGCCATCTGATGTGCTAGAAATGTTGCTGGTATTTTATTAAATTAGTAACGGACCACCTGATGTTTTTTTTTATCGCAGCGGACGACAATGAGAACTGTACTTTCCATAGATATTCAACCTCTGTACGGACCACATGAAGGGAATCCGAAAATCGCCAGTGGTCATTGTACCACAGACTGAGAGCCACTGTACTAGACCATTGTTGTGCCATCAGAGTATATTAAGGATTGGTTGGTTAGTTGTTAACACAAAATTACACAATGACCTATCTATGCTCTGCCCACCACGGGTATCGAAACACGGGTTTTAGCATCGTGAGTCTGCAGACTTATAGCTGAGCCACTAGGGTCTCAGAGGGGGGGGGGATTAAGAATAAAAATTCACTTAATATAATAGAAAGGTAAAATAAATAGACGGAAGAAGAGAAAGAAATAGATAAACAGATATTGCAACTAGTATCCTTCTGTGTAGATGTATATCCTACCAGAAAATACCTCATATCTTCTCGTCTACTTGTTCTTTACATTATAGTTGCATATGTTAGTTTAGATACTGATCTCATTAATGAAAAAGACTGTACCCTATTGTCGAGTTCTTTCTGTAACACACAATTCTGTGGTGTATATGTATGTATACTCAAGTAAAGTTTCATCGCGCGTGATTATCAGGAGTAGAGAGTAGCATAACCTTGCACTCAGGGTGTTAATATCATGCTTCATGAAAGATTAACAACAGCTCCCCCTCGTGCTGTCGCTACTTTATTAACTCCCACAGTCGATGTAGCTCGCTCCAGATCATAAATTGTCTCTCATTATAGGATAACTGTCAGAAGAGCAATAACGACCACATGGGAGAGAAGTTTAGCCTTTTAAGTGTCTAGCAGTTAATTAGTTCATTTAGGCTGAAGTAATGATGCATAGTTAGGGCATGGTTATGTGTAGAGTGCCACGAGAAAACCGGCTGATGTAAAGTGATCAATGTTGTTTACTACTGAATTTATAGTGTTGTTTGGCGCCTCGAGATGTGTCTCCAAATACTCAATGAAAAATTACAACCTTTTTATGACGTAGTGGAGTCATAAGTTAATCTGTTTTTACAATAAACCTGTTTTAAGTGGCTTTAGAAATACGAACCCGAAATATGCCGAATCGACATTCAGAATGTGTAAGAATCTCGTATCGAATTCTAGAACCAATTTTCCAAAGTTCTTTTCGAATTACCTCAAGACGTCTGCGGACTTACAACGCTAGAAACCGGGTTTCGATACCCGTTGTGGGCAGAGCACAGAGAGCATATTGTGCAGCTTTGTGCTTAATTACAAACCTCGGGACGTTTGTTCTCGAATAATGTATTCGATGTTTTACTTGTCCTTACTCAGCATAAGTCACCTGAAACCGATGTGAAAGGTGCCGAATTAAAGAAATGTTAAAATTCATAAATTCTGAGGCTATAAAACAATTACGTTATCTTGAACAGTTTGATTTCAGAATAGGCTAGAATACTAAATTATTAGCACTAATGTATTGAATAAAGGACAAATCAAACATGATACACCCGTAAGTGAGATCTGGTCGTGTTCTTGTTTGTTTTTGAATTTCGCGCAAAGCTACACGAGGGCCATTTGCGCTAGCAGCCCCTAATTTAGCAGTGTAAGACTAGAGGGAAGGCAGCTAGTCATCACCACCCACCGCCAACTCTTGGGCTACTCTTTTACCAATGATTAGTGGGATTGACCGTCATATTATAACGCCCCCACAGCTGAAAGGGCGAGCATGTTTGGTGGTATGCGGATTCGAACCCGCGACCCTCAGATTGTGAGTTGAGCGCCTTATCCACCTGGCCATGCCGGGTCATAGGTCGTGTTCTTTAGATCTCTTGTCGTTGTTATTATTGTCTCTGTTGCACCGAATTTCGGTGTTATGTTATGTGTGTGTTAATATTTGTTTGTGTGTTTGTCAGCAAGATTTCTCGAAACTGGCTGAATGGATTTGGTCGAAACTAGGTATACATTTGGACTATGAAAAACTTAGAAGTGATTAGTGTTTGGAGGGTCTAGTTCAAAAGGCAAGTTCACGAAAATCCCCCCCAAATCCCTATCTGTTTACCGGGGGATCGTTTTGTCACACTATTTTTACGATATAAATCAGTCAAAAATAATCGGATTTTGATGAAACTTGGCGGACGTATGTAGAATATTACCCCTCATTGTCCTCCCAAAAATGGTCCGTGTCTGTATGTTGTTTCTTTTTAGAGCTGAATATGATCAACGCTGCGTGACGGAGGTATGTGCTCTACTGAGTACCCCTCTAATTTTATCCATATCTATATATATATATATATCCATATCTATGTATATATATCTATTTATATAATATATATATATTTATATAAATATATATATATATAGATAGATACAGATATAGATATACAAATAGATATAGATACACATATATAAATATATACATATATAGATAGATAGATAGATACAGATATAGATATATAAATAGATATAGATGCACATAAATAAATATAGATAGATAGATAGATACAGATATAGATATATAAATATAGATGCACATAAATAAATATACATATATAGATAGATAGATAGATAGATACAGATATAGATATATAAATATATATCTATATATTTATATATAGCTCAGAAAAATTCACATGAATATACCAAGATAAGTATAAGTTATTTTTTATAACAGTTCTTTAAACTACGACAGGCGTTACGTGATTGACTATCTAACATTTCTTTATACAGAATCCCATGCAAGATATTGTTGTTTTTGTTGTTTGTTATTAAGCACAAAGCTACACAAAGGGCTATCTGTGCTCTGCCCACCACGGGTATCGAAACCCGGTTTCTAGCGTTGTAAGTCCGCAGATATACCGCTGTGCCACCGGGGGGCCCAAGCAAGATATAGATATACACTTTAACACAGCTTATCAGCTATACTTCTTCGATACAAGGCTTAGCTAATTCATACAAAAACAATATCTAATGCTAAACACATTCAATCACATCAGCTAATTTTATAGCGCCACGTAGTAACAGTTAAATAAAACATAATCGTCTGAACTTGTCGCCCCTTACTAGGTTTAATTAGTAAACAAATTTCAAACAGTATTTCCTCTTTTCAGATTCGTAGCAAAGACTGAAACACCTTACGACTGCTGACGAGGCTTAGCCAGAATTGACTGTCAGTAGACTGTAATCCTTGATAAAGGTGTAATATCGAAACCTCAATATTTCAAGTAAAATATTCACTGTTAAGTGTTGTTTAGTTATAAACCTTCAAATATGTTAAACGATAGATAGCAATACATATAACGTTTCCTTTGAAATGGTACACGCCGTTTGTTTTCAAGTTCTGAAGTGGAAACGAAAACTCAGTGGAGCTAATACTAAAAACAGTATTACCAGAGCAATGAGCGTCATGACATTCTGATTTGGAAAATCAAATTGTCTTGCTTTGAGGTATTACGAGGTATAAGTTAAAACTAAAATTAAAATAATTTTAAAAGTGATGTCACATGTAGGCCTGACGTCAACAACAACAAAAAATAAACTAGAAAGAAATAACGCATGCGAAGCAAGCGAAGAATGTAAACTCACCTTCGGGTTCTTTTTCGAGAGCAAAGCTACATTAGGCTATCTACTGCGCCCACCGCAAGGAACTGAACCCCCGGATTTTAGCGTTGGAAGTCCATAAACTTACCGCTGTACCACCGGGGGGACATTGTTTTTTGAAAACCTGAATCATCGTTCTGATTTATGAAAATAGCACTTCAATATTGATATCAAAGAACGCGAAGTAACTTAAACGGTATAAACATATCTATCCCTTCCCATATTTATTTAGATTACGAGTCTTTTTGTATATTTTATATTGACAAAATTGTATATAGACTGTACAAAAAAGGCGCATGAGGTTTTATAACAACTGAAAACTAACTTAAACCATTATTTGACAAAAGTCTTGAGTGTGTGTGTTCGTTTACACAAGTGAGTCGTTGGACCTAATGTCATCAATTCTGCCATGTATGCTAAAGACCCCCAGGAAATGGCATAAGGAGGCGTTCGGATCTGATCCCCTACGTAACCACCTCGAAGGCCACGTGTTCCATGAACTTTAAAAAAGGATGTTCGAACAGTGCCTTGAATTGAAAACCGAGTGGCCCAGTATTTAGCGTGCCAGACTGTAGATCCTAGGTTTCATTAGTTCGCGCTCCGCACATTGGAGTCGTGGGTGCATTATAAGAGTAACTGTCAGTTCCCACTATTCGGTTAGAATAGACGAAGATTGGGTGGTGAGTAGTGTTAACTAGCTGCCTTCCTTCTAGTCTATCACTTTCAAACAAGGATCGGCTAACATAGATACCTCTCGAGTAGCTTTGAGAGAAAAATTCAACAACATTAAAGGCAGTAAGAACGCATCATTCAGTAAAAAAAAGAAAAAAAAAGATATAAAGGTTGTTCTTTTTTGTTTTGTTTTGTGTTTGCAGTTTTTCGTACTTCGGGATAAATTCTGCTCGTTCATAAGAAGAGGCCTTAGAGTGGGAAAAATGAGATGTCCTTCAGTTGAAATGCGATTTAATTTTTAGACCTATATTCTGGATCACCACTAGAACAACTTTCCACCAATCCATTTACTGATGCAATAAAGTGGAGAACTGAAGGGCTTAGGCCCTTCCAGTAAAACGTAATAACTTTCGTTTAACAGCCTACCGTTATGTCACAACAATCAGCATACAAATAGCCTGGAATCCACCTGATTGTTTCCGTGTCTGGAAAGAATTAAGGAGCTCGAGCTGGCAACATAAACAAACTGTACAATTCACCACCTAGAAATATAAATCCGCCCCTTTTGTTAACCACATAATGCGTGAACAAATCCGCAGATGTTCGACGATTATATAATACGCTTTCTCTGATCCAAATTATTAAAGCGGTTTTTTCCTTTTGTGAAAGGTATCTTTTGGAATTGCTCTGTCAGTCTAGCTGGTTTTTATGACCAAACTTTATTACAGTTTCTCCTAGGTATGAAGCACAACAAACTGAAACACCAGAAATTCTATCATCACTAAAATCGCGACAACAAAAATATATCCAGAAAAGAGAGAGAGAGAGATAAAAAAAAAGTGACGATGATTAAACTTCCAGTTTTTATTTTCTTCAGCAACTGACAGAAAAACTATTATAATATCTCAGGTTATTTCTACAAGAAAAAGAGTTACTTCTGTTTTTTACCTATTATTTTACAGGAAATACAGTAGAGATCCATGAATTTTCTTATTAAATTTAAAGGCGGCCAGCGTATCGGGAAGAAAATCGGAAATTCGAGGGTTCGAGACGTGATGCCGCTGAATATCTACTCCGCACGTTCAACTGTAGGTGCGTTATAAGAGTCACAGTATTTTCCGTTATTCTGCTCGAAGACCTTTTGACGGCGGGTGCAGCTAGTTGGATGCCTTTCCTCTGCTCAGTAGTCCAGAATTAGGGACAACTATACATTTCTATGTCTAACGATTACTGTGCCACTTTTGCAATTTCAAGACTTTATTGTTTTTGATGTATATTCACACACATTTCTACACGTTTTGAATTTAGTTTTGAAATGTAATTTG